TTCAGGTTTTCAGAAGCATTGCGATGTGGCGATGCAGGTGGAGAGCCAAAGCCCAGAGGGTGGGGTGGCCTCCAGAAAAGGATGGCGGCAGGTTTGGCCGGCGGAGAAGAGCGAGGCTGGGGACCGTGAGAGACGGCAAGGTCTCTGGGCACAGAAAGCGGCCCCTCCCATCAGGCACCCTGGGTTCAAATCTCTGCCCCGCCACCCGTCACCTGGGTGCTTCCGGACAAGTCACTGTCTTCCCTCTAGGCCCCAGTTCCTTCATCTGGAAGGTCAGGTGGTAACTAACGCCTCCTTATGCAGGGCTGCTGCGGTATCTAAGGGCGTGGCTTCACAAAGCTCAGGCGCGGGGGTCTGGCCGTGGAAGGGCGAGGGTTTCTAGAGCAGTGCCTCGGTGGGCGTCTCAGAGCTCTCCCTCCACCAGACCACCGGAGCCCGAGCCGGGTCTCCTTGGGCTCCTGCCTCTCCTCCTGCACGGCCATCCTCTCTCCCCTCTGGGGCTGCCGAAGGAGCTCCCCACAGCACAGTGTCACGCCGTGACACAAAATCCTCTCCTGCCGACCGTCACGCATGGCTGGACTCCTCAGCCTGGCTCTCCAGCCCCTTCGCAGCCGCCCCCCTGCACACGCACCCTCTCCTCATCTCCTGAATGTGCTAGGCACTCGCACCTCTGTGATTTTGCAAACGCTGTTCCCTGGCCTTGAACTACCATTCCGGTAGCCTGCACCTGACAAACTCCTACTCATGCCTCAAGACACAACTCAAATGCCCCACTTTCTCTAGGCAGCTGGAGCAGGCTTAGAATCTCCCCTCCCCGTGGCGCTTCAGACGCCCTTGAATTTCAGTGCAGCTCCTTATTTTTGTGCCTGTCCAACACTCAGTGTGAGCCTCTCACAGGGAGCGTCTGTCTTACTCCTCTCTGCAGCGCCTAGTCCCGGGGCAACATCTAGCACGTGGTCGGCCCTCAGTCAATATTTGATGAATGCATGAATAAACACAAGTAAGAAAGTTGACTCATTTGAATGGGAAGATTGTGCTTTGTGGTTGAAATTTTCCATGTTCATTCTGCACACACTTTCCAGAAAATTCCTTCTGAAGGGTATTTTCTGTTTTGTTTTCATGCTAAGCAATCAAGTCTCATGTGAAAGCTCCTCAAAACCTAAGCATTTGGAGCAGGTGTCCGGCTCACGTGTTACATGATCGTCTCCCTCAGTAACAGAATACAGACTCTTGCTTGCTTGCTTTTAAGAATAGAAACAAACAAAAAACCCCAACAAATTCAGGGGGGGAAACTAAAGTGTAAGATCAGAGGGCTTTCTGTAGCTTAACCAAGTGTCACATAGTCTGGTCCTGTGACAGGGGCTGAGGGGCCCCCCTCCACAGGGCTACCCTTGCCTGGTGGAAGGGGTGCTTGTCTGGAGTCCCTGGGCGCTGCGAGTGCCTCAAGGGCTAAACAGCCCAGTGAATGTCACCACCATGCTGTGTCACTGTAGCAGAAAACACACCTCTGTGTTATCATAGGGGACAGTAACGTTTCACAAACGTTAGTATTATAATGATTGGTCAAGGAGGGGCTGAACGGCTACTTCATTCGTACATGTCGGCATTCAGCAGATCTTACCGTTCAGCCGACTGGGACAGGTACTGGTTAGATAGGAGGCCTCGCTACTGCTTCAAGGAGTATACTCTCTTCCTGAGAGAAAGCCAAGGGGACTGAGGGGGTTACAGCTCAGTGAGATGCGGATTCTCCTCCTCACCGCCAGTGAGGCCGACCTGGGGTGGACAGGGGTCGGGCTGGAAGGGGCCCTTGCATCTCCCAAAGCACTTGGCACGGCTGACCCCAGGTTTATTAAAAGAAAAATATGTAAGTGTATGTAGGTATTTATGTGCATAGAAAAAAGATTGGACTGATCCACAGACTGGAAATACAAAAATGGTGCTCATAGGTGGTCAGACCAAGTTGTGTCTTCTAATCTGTGTCTGTTTCCTAGTCTTTCTACATTGAATGCATACTCCCTGCAGGATTTCCTTGAACTAAGGAGACAAAATACTTGTACCTGCAGGCGCTGCATCCTTTGTCCCTGGTGGTCAGTGGGGAGGCCGGGTTTGGTGGGGCCCAGGCCAGCTGATGTGACAGACGTGGAACTGTGCTGCCCTCTTACCTAATGAGCCTTTGAGGTGCGTCATCTGTTCTGAATGGTGTCTTCTCCAACAAATTCCGAAATTCCCGAAAGTTTAGGGTGGCGCTAAGTCTCAAGCCGAGAAGGCCCAGGAAATGCTCAAACTCTTCGTCTTTGAGGCTGAACAGTAGGTGCTGCAGTAACTTGCGGAGGTCCTGCATGCTGACAATGCCGTTCCGGTCTGTGTCGATCTTAAAGAAGGCAGCGTAGGGGTCCTAGGAACAGAACGCACACGGCAGAGCCCTCTCCCGAACGCTGCCGACCACGCACCCATAACCCCGCGTGTATGGACTCATCTCCAAACTGAGGAAGGGGGGAATGCACACACCACGCCCTCCAGTGTCCTCTCCTCATGGCGAGCTCGGGACAGGGACAAACAAACCCCCCCGGCCCTTTCAAGGCGCCCAGTTCTTGTTCCGATACCAGCACCAGAAGGAAAAAACAGTGCTGGAGCTCCCCAGCACGGATAAAAATCTGGCTTTTGAGGTTTCCATATGACTTGCATGACGTTTGGCGCCTGGTCTACAGGGTAACGAGCACTGTAGTGGGTTTCATCCTGAGGGGCTCAGGTGCCGGTGCTGCTTCTGATGGCCGCCCCGAAGCTCAGGTCCCGCCTGATACCTGTGTGCCTGCAGGGCCCCAAGGACGATGCATGGGCGCATTTGCTCCCCAGGCCATGCTGCACGAGGGCACAGGGATCCCCATTTTGCAGATGAGGAAACAGAGGCAGGTGGGTGTCGAGGGGGTGCTGCAGGGCTGAGGCCACACACTGGAGGCGCGTTGCTGAGTTTCAAGTTCCAGCTCTGCCGCTTACTAGCAGTGTGTGACCTTGGACAAGATACGAGTACGTAACCTTGCCATTCTCCCATTTTCTCATCTGTAAGATGGGAGTTAGAATAATCTCTAGCTCCACAGGCGGCTGTGAGGGTTGAATATGCCAACGCATGCAAAGCACTTACACCGTGTCTCACGGGTTTTGTAAGCTCTCTAAAATGTGGTTTGTCCCTATTGCTGCTGCCTGAGGTCACGCAGCAAGTGCCTGGCTCTGTCTAGACCGATGCCTGTGCTATCCCCCACAGGTACTTTCCATGTCTCAGTCTTGAAAAGTTGCTGAGGGGGTCCCAACACCCCTCATTTCCATCGGTCCCTGATCAAGTCCCGGGATCTGCCATAAGAGGTTATTTGCAGTATAAAGCAGGACCTGTTATGACTCACGTGTCTAATGAAAAGGTTTTGGGATTTTCTGGAAAGACCTATCTGTAGTCACTCATTTATTCATTCACCAAAAATTATGCAGCGCCTAATATGTGCAATCACTGTCGGAATCAATTTAAAATGTGGCCCCGTGCTTCCCAGTGACATCACCATCCAGCTGGTGGCCTCCGCGCCGGTGGCACCGCGCCCGGGGATGTCCTCGGGGCTGCAGGCCCATCTGTTTCCTGCTGGTCTCCCCACAAG